AATCTGTACTCGCAGTACTAATACTGAATCTGTACTCGCAGTACTAAAACTGAATCTGTACTCTCAGTACAAATACTGAATCTGTACTAGCAGTAATACTGGATCTGTAGTAGCAGTACTAATACTGAATCTGTACTCACAGTGCTAATACGGAATCTGTACTCGCATTACTAATACTGAATCTGTACTCCTAGTACTAATACTGAATCTGTACTCGTAGTACTAATACTGAATCTGTACTCGTAGTACTAATACTGAATCTGTACTCGCAGTTCCAATACCGAATCTGTACTCGCGGCGCTAATACCGAATCTGTACTCACAGTTCCAATACTGAATCTGTACTCACAGTTCCAATACTGAATCTGTACTTGCAGAGCTAATACCGAATCTGTACTCGCAGAGCTAATACTGCAGCTGTACTCACAGTATCAGTATTGTATCTGTGTTTACTGATGGGAAATAAAAGAACAGTTTTAAATAAATTTCAAGTGTTCGGAGCATCAGGGAAAGAGGAAGTAAGGACCAGAGGAAGAATTCAAAGGGTCCAACTTAAAGAAAATTCATCATTAAGAACCCCGTCTGACCTTTTTAAAATATGAATGTAGTATTAGCAGAACCTTTAGGATGTAAAATTAGCATTTGTGAAGCTGATGGCCAAAGAAGACATGCAGATATTATAAAAGACTTCACTGAAGAAGCTGAAACTGAGTTGTAAAAGCTAAAAGTAGCAAACGGCTAGCTGAAAGATAAAGACGACAAAGGGTTGGCTAAAAGCAGCAAAAAGCTCCTTAACAAACGTGGCTAACAGTAAACGGTGGTTAAGTGTCAACAACTTGCAGCTGAACTCATATAAGACCGAAAACAAGGTTTCTCAAATCCAACAGTTACATCTTCCGTCCTTCAGTCCAGCCTCAAAAACGTGTGCGTCATTTTTTTATTCTAACGTCTTTAAAACAAAAGACTACAAACGGTCTCTTCCATCAGGAACGTGTTAAAATTGAGAAGCTCGCTGTCAAAAACCGAACTTGAGATGGTCATGCTTTTATTTCTTCTCGTTTTAAACTACTGAAATTATTCACATGTTTAAATAGGGCGGAGCTGGACCGTTTTCAAATTGTCCAGAACTGGCTCCCAGTTCATTTTAGAACTAATTTAACATTTTTAGCTTTAACCTTTTAGAGCGTTGCATGAACAAGCGCCTTCTTACATCTCTGACTTGGTTCAGGTCCACACACGTCTTCGCAGGTTAAGGTCGTCAGGTCAGAGGTTGTTGGTGCCAGCACCCATTTGAAATCAGTCGTTCCAAACAGCTGCACCCTGACTTTGGACTGCACTGCCCCAAAGTTCAAGTGATTCATTTAAAAATCTTCTAAAGATTTTATTATATAAACAAGCTTTTATTTAGAGGTAGAGCTTTTTAAATATGTTCTATCCTGTTTTACCTGTATTTTTATATGCTTCAAATGTATGATTGTTTATGCATATTCTGGTGTATGTTCATAATTTTAGTTTTAATGTTAGCTACAAGTAGCGTAAGTGTCAAAAGTTGCATAAGGCTAGCTGAAAATGAAAACTGGCAAAGGGATTAAGCTCAAAGCAACAAAGGTATTTCTAAACACAGCAAAATCGTAGCTAAAAAGAATGTTAGCTAAAAGTAGCCAAAGGATACCTGAAAACCAAAGGTATCAAAAGATGAACTAAAAACAGAAAAGGGCTGGCTGAAATTTCAAGGACGCAAAACTCAAAGCAGAAAAGGTTTAACCAAAAAGCAGCAAAAGTTTAGCTAAAAGTAGCAAACGGGTGCATTAAAGCTAAAAGTATCGTAAGTTTGGTTAAGAGGTGGGAAAAAGCTATAGCTAGAAGCTGAAAGTACCAAAAGGCTAGCTAAAAGTAGCCCAAGACAAACACTATTATATTAAAGCTGATTTTTTTTTTATGTTTGTGAAGAGGTTTTAATGCATTTCTATGGTGAAAATATATATTTTTAAAAAGTTGACGTTTTTGAAATGTATACATGTTACAAAGATGAAAAGCCATTTCCTGAACGAGCTGAACGTTTTGCTGTCCAAACGCTCAAAATGACGGGAAGTTTGCAGGAATAAAACAACGGTGTGAGTGTTGATTCACAAAGAAGACGACGTACCAGTCGGCCATGACACCCATCACTAAGTAGCCGAATATGGAGCCCACGAGCAGCGAGAACTTGGCGATGTGAACCTTCCAGGCCGAGTCACACACCAGGTTCCACTGAAACAGAAAACGGAGAAGACTCTGAATCCACATCCACCCGAGGACGAACACCTGAATCATCCAATGAGAGACTCAACCCAAGTCAGGAAAAACATGTGCCAATGTGTCTCTGTTAGCAAAATATCTTGTAAAACCACTGGTTGAACTTAAATGAAACTTTCAGGAAAGAATCGCTGGATGATTTTGAGCCAGTCCCATTCAAGATGGCCTCAACGGCCAACTTTTGAGAAAACAAAAATGGCTACATTTAAATCAGTTTGACAGATACTGAGCTGAAACCTGGTGTGGTAGTAGCTGAAAGTCATCCTCATCACATAATCAGAAGGCGGTGGGTGATACGCATTCCTTCAAGGAATGCCGTTTTTTTTTAATTAACTTTTAATCTGAGCTTAAAATGTCACCAACACATCCTGAGCTGATGATCAGCAGCATCCTGAATCTGTTACCTTGGTAACCACATTCTGAGTGAGTCCCGTCTGCAGCTCCAGCCTCCGCTCCGCGCACGCGCACAGCATCCCTCCGCTGTCCTCGAACCCCTCCCCGGTGCCGTTGTTGCCTTTGAGATGCAGCGCGGGCGCGCTGCTCGCGGATACTGGCAGGTGCGTCCCGGTCCAGTTGCTATTGCTACTGTCGTTACCCAGAGGTTGCACGCACGTGCTGTTGGGCTGCGCAAGGAGGAAGTGGTCCGAGAACTGGCTGAAGCCGATGAACAGGGCCGGTATCCAGGTCAGGACCACCAGCTGCTTCTGGTGCCGCCCGAACCCGCCCAGGGACGGGAGCACGCAGCCGTCGACGTGCGGCAGCAGCCGGGGCGCCGCGCGCTCCAGCAGCGTGAAGCCGTTCTCCGGCGGGTGGTCCTGCGCCTCCGGCGGGCCCCCTGCCATCACGACCCGTCCACAAGGATGGCAGGCGCGCGCGACCAAAGCCCCCCCGCCGCTCCGCGCGCACTCACTCTGCGCTGAACCCTTTGACACAAAGGAATCCCAGCGCGCGGATAAATCCGGTTTTTAACCAATCAAAACCCGAGAAAACCAGGGTCCATGAAGCACCGAATCACCGAGCTGCAATCCTCATCCCGATCTGGGGGTGTCGGTGTGGGGGGGTTGTGTCAGGAGGCGCTCCCGGAGAGGGGGGTGCGACTCAGACAGGCTTTGTATTCCATGCGTGCAGCTCCAGCTGGATCCATCCATGGGGGGATGAAGTGGCCCAGGCCTGGGGGTCGTTCGGATTAAAATCTAAACATCTGTTTGTCCTTCAAACGCGCGTGCCCACAAGTCTCACACCTGTCCACATGGTGACCCCCCCGGGAAGATGCGCGTCATTTACATCGTCAAAATCCAAACCGACAACCTCTCCTGGATCCGGGATCCGATCTGAGACCGATGAAACCAGCCACTCGGTCTGTCGCGGTCTCCTGAGTGCGTGGGACTCTGCCAAGCTGAGATGGGGGGGTGTCTCTAAACCACGCCCCCATGGCTCGAGCTATGCTGTGATTGGAGCGACTGCACCATTGAGGGGCATCAGGAGGCAACAAAAGCGCCCTTTGTGCAGCTTGTGCCCCTGAACAGAAAGCTGTTCATGTTTCCCACCGTGGCGCGAGGATTCAAACACCTTGGATGATTTATTTTACATGTGTGCGGGCTTTGATGCGGTTTGTGTTCATGCGTTTGTCCAAGCTCACGCAGAGGCAGCAGTGCGTCATAACCGTTCATTACCAGGGCAGGATTCATGCGCGTCTGGGCCCTGGGCCGAAGCCACCCCTGGGGCCCAATCAACATTGTTGTTGTTGTTGTTTTAATGATTTGTTATTTTTCATTATTGCTATGTTTATTATTGTTATTGTTGTTGTTGGTTTTATTGTTGTTATTATTATTTGTGTACAAATTAGAGTACTGATTGTTCGCACATTTCCTTTAAGGTTTCAGTCACAGGAAGCAGAACAGCAACACAAAAAGAATTAGACAAAATGCATCTTTGTGAAAAGTTCCTGTAAATGCAGAAGCTGAAAAACTTTTAATAGTAAAAATATTAGCTGAAGGTAGTTTAACTGCTAGCTAAGATCTAAAAATAGCTAACCACAAGCTAAATGATAGCCAAAAGTTACAATGCAATGCCCAAAGGTTACGACGTGTTTGGTAAAAGTTTCAGAATGTTGGCTAAAAAAAGCAAATGACTAGTTGCACAACTACAGGTTGCAAAACTCCTGCTAAAAGTTACAAAACGAGAAATAAAAGTTATAAAATGATAACAGTTGTAAAACGAGTTAAAACTTGCAATACTAAGGCTAAAAGTTGTAGCTAATACAATAGCTAAAAGTTGCAAAACAAAAGCTAAAAGTTGTAATAGCATAGGTAAAAGTTACAAAGTGTTAGCTAAAAGTTGTAAAATGCTAGCTAAAAAATCCAAATAAATTAGCCAGAACTTGCAAAACGCTAACTACAGGTAGCAACACACTAGCTATAAATTGCAATACGAGAACAAAAAATTGCAAAACTGTAACTAAATATTGCAAAACAAGAGCTAAAATTGCACTAATGCTATAAGTTGTAATACTATAGCTAAATTTTGCAGTATGATTTCTAACAATAGTATAGCTAAAAGTTGCAACAAGTTGCTACAGCTAAAATGAGCAAAATGCTAGAGAGCTAAAAATATAATTACACACAAGCTAAACAATAGTTCAATGTTGCAATGCAAAAGCTAAATATTGCAATTTGCAAAATTAAATTTACAAAGTCTTAACTGAAACGTGCAAAACGCTAACTAAAGCTTGTAAAACAATAGCTAAAAATTGCAAAATATTGATTAAAAACAGCAAAACAAGAACTAAGTGTGTAATACTATAGCTAAAATTTGCAAAATTCTAAAAAAATAACCTACCACAAGCTAAACGATAGTTAAAAGTTGCAAATGCTAATAATTGCAAAATGCTGACTAAAAAAAAAAACAAATAACTAGAAGTTGCAAATGCTAAAGTTTGCATAACACTAGCTAAAAGTTGCAGCATGCTATTTAAAATGAAATGTGTCAAAACCCCAAAGCAGCACAAAGCTAACTACAGGTTAAATCAGAATGAAGGTAGCTAAAAGTAAGTAGCAAAACACACAAAAAAAAGTTTAATTGTAAAAGTAACAAAGAGATAGGTGCCAATATAATTAAAGAGCAGCTAAAAGCGGCAAAATGCTAGCTAAAAGTTAAAAATGGTCGATTTCAAACAGCACAAAGTTTTCAAGATTTTTAAAAAAAAAGCAGATTTAAGTCAACGAGAAAGCAAACATAAGAAAAATTAAACATTCAACAACAAAAATATCGGGAAAAATCTGTTCTGGTGCAAAACTTGATTTGAGCAGCTGCTGTGGGAGGCATGGGGGTGTTTCAGACACGAGGGGGCGTCAGACCACCACGTTACACATACGTTGTGTTTCATTTAAATTCAACCAAATTTAAAAACAAGCCCCCCCCGCCCCCCCTGTCCCCCCGCCCTTGGCTGGTTAAACAGCTAAAACCGTCCTGCAGCAGCTCGGGTGGGACCCTGAGATTCTCCCTGGACTCTGTGGGAGATCCGGGTTCAGAACGAGGTGAGAAAATGTGTGAAAGATGTTTTAACCTGAAGACTAAAAGTTCAGTCTTTAAAGACAGGGCTGCTTTCAGGGTGTGTCTGGGGGGGGGTGACAACTGGTGTTCAGCGGCTCATCTTCCTCCTCCTCCTCCTCCCATGCAGACAGGCTCAAACTGGGAGTTGGAGGAGGCTGTTTAGTTCTTTTATCTGCCAACCAACCACACCCACATTAAAAACCTGACAAGGCCCCGAACCAAACTCAACACATGCAGACCTGATTTGACGAGCCTGAATCAACTTGGAAAAGTTTAATTAGATCATGTATGTTTGCAAATTTTTGTTTAAAAGTACTAAAAACTCTTTGTGCATTAGGGATAGCTGCTATCGTCACATGTTACCAACCAGCCGTTGATCTTTTCATGATATTGACTGCAGTAATTTCAGATTAACAATATCATTGTGCAGCCCTTTGCACAAATCTAAGCTAATTTACCTGTTGCCACTAAATAATCTTCAATAATTTGATTTTATTTCTAAACGGAATTCCTTTTGCATATCACCCGCCGCCTTTCATGCTCAAGTTTTACACAGAAACTGTTTTGTGTAAGAAACTGTGCAACTAAATCACGGTGATTTGCAGCTGCGGTTGAAATGTGTTTTTTTTTTTTATTTTATCCCTCTCACAAATAAAATGAAACATTTCTCAATAAGAGAGGAAGACAGTTGGATCTGAGACCAAATTAAAGAGAGAGGATGAGCTAAAATGGAGGAAACGAGAAGGAAAGTCTTTAATTGGGTTTATGTCCCAGTTTATTTTTTAGTTCTTCACCCTTTTCTGTATTTAGATTATTTTAGTTTCTGTTTTAGTTGAACCCGATCCTTTGATCACTTCTGCCCACCTCACCTGTTTTCCGTTTGATTTTTACACATCTGTTACATCCTTCCTGTCCTCTTTCTGCCCAGTTTGCACGAGTTCAGTAAGACGTTTTGTTTGCACATTACCCGACACTTTTTTCTGTTCAGGACTTCTGGCTTTTTTATGGACTGTGGCAAAAAAGAGGCAAAATGAGCCAAGAGAAGGATGGAAAAGGAGAGTGACGGCTAAATGAACACTGCAAGCATCCTAGAGGTTTCCCCAAAGCAGCAGAATGATCTCAAACCGGAGGCAGCTGGTGTGACTGATCAGGTTTTTGTTGTATATAAACAGTGTAATGTGATCGATGCTTTCACCTCAGATTATTTCACTTTTCTTTTGTGTAAAGCACACAGAGGAACAAAAGTCCAGATGTGTTGTACATAATGAGGAGAAACCATTACTTCAGTTAATGAAAAAGTTGAAACTGCTCTTTTGCATAAAAATTCAAAAAAAGGTTGACGATGGTCGTAAATATTTCCTTCTGAGTTTTCAGACTCTTCACAGTTGACTTTTCGATCAAAGAGAAAATCGGAGCTCGGAGAGCTCCCACGTCACAGATTTGAGTCAAATGATCAAACAGGAGCTGAAAACTTTGTTTTTCTCATCTCCACTGAAGCACTTCAACAAAATATGACAATTACATTTTTGTGTTGTAATATTTTGTCTTTACCCGATCATTTGTAGTTTATATCTGCTGCATTTATTTGACATTTGTTCTCAGGGTGAAGGTTGAAACGATAAGAAACATCTACAGAACTCTGCTTAAAATACTCTCTTATGAATCATACTGGAACCATCTGACATACTGGTGGTTTCTTTACATGTACCCCAAAAATGGCACATAAAAAGAGTACAGTATTTTGCAACCATGTGCATCTCAAAAACTTTTGTTTCTTAATTGTTGTATTTTTGTGAATAAATAACCCAGAGTGAACTTTTGACGAAGAACAACCTGCATCGCTGTCTTAGGAAAAAGAAAAAACAAAACTGATTCACAGATGATCAGGTGCAGTCTTCTTTTAAATCTTAAATTTGCCGGCAAACGAGAGCAGGTCATAATAATGTGCTGGATGTGCGGGCTGGGTCTGTGTCGGGCTTTTGATTGCATCAGCGGACGCGTGCAGCTGACGATCCAATTATGTGTCAACATGGCTTGCCATATTTCAGCAGCCACACACGGCCATTTGACCGCACGCTAACCGGCCTTGAAAGAGGTTAAAAAAAAAAAAAAGTTCAGTTAAGTTTCAGATGGGACTATACTGCCAGGCAGCGATCCATCAAAGCACAAATGGACGTTCATTCAGGCTCTGCACTCAGCGGACACGAGCGACCAACGACCCAAACAGGTGAGATCCCAAACTCGCAGACATGTCAGAGCAAGGTCCATGTTTGAATAATGCAGAATGCAGCTGAAGCAGGGATTTGATGCACTTTGACGGTCATGAAAGGACAAACACCCCCTCAACTCCGATCTTCTGCCCCTTTTATTCAGCTGCACATGTTCGCCGACCGTTAATAACGGGTGTTTCAAGTTCAGACCTGGAATTATTGTTGATTCATCAAGTCGGGTCAGGTTTGGAAATGATGGCTACAGGCTGGGGCCAGGTCGGGTCAGATATTTTGGGCCAGAATGCAACTCTAAACCATATAGATTGATCCAACCACATAAATTTCTCCAAACCACTTAGATTGCCCCAACTCACATAGATTGTCACAGAACAGCCAATTTCACCTTAGACATTAAGTTCAGTTTCACAACGACACAGAGCTAAATATGAAGTGTACAGGAAAATCCATCCATCCATTATTTTTACCCGTTTATTTCATTTTGGGTCACGGGGGTCGCTGGTGCCCATGTCCAACAATCACTGTGAGAGGGGCGGGGTACACCCTGGACGGGTCGCAAGTCCATCACAGGGACACATAGAGGCAAACGAGA